GTGTCAATTCAAAAAGCATTGGGCACGACAAGGTGTGGCCAGGTCCTGATTGAATGCTTGAGAATAAGCAGTGACAATGATGATAGCCATGCACCCTGCAAAATCTTCTCATCCCACTGTAGTGCAAGCAGGCACAGCCTACATGAGAGTAGCAAGCCTGCTCTGAAATCAGTAGCAGTTCAGCGTTGTTGCCACACCATCACAGGAAGCTGCATTAGGGGGACTTCACTGGCAAGATTAAGAGACATTTGTAGAACTTAGCAGGGAAACTAAGAGAGAACTGCCAGTGCAGATGCACCTAAAATTACCTAGCACATATGTTAATTGTTTTTTTTTAAATGGGAGGCCAAATGTCATGGCCAATACTGTTTTATGATGCTGGAGTGTGGCAATGAATTGCTTTTTTGTTATTGGTCAGCAAGCCGGCCCAGGAGAAAATTGGCTGATGGGCCAAGCTTGAGGTGATCTTGATTTTGCATGGAGTCCCCTGGAGTCTGCAATTATTCATAGTTGGCTGGAAGTGTTTGGGGGAGTGTACCAGCCCAAGATAGCATAGTGCTTCCTTCAATCACCAGTATGTGATTATGTTTTAAAAGCATTTCGAGGGGAAGATTTGCCCATCCACACTATTTGGAAGGATGAGGGAATGAAGTGGTATCTCTTGCTCAGCTTAGCAGAAATCTCTACGTGTATGGCCAATTATAGAGTAAAAATAGGTTTTAATGGGGCGCTAGTGAGCAGCCAACCAAGATGGCCGCAATCTAACCTGGCTCCACTACACCCGGACACGAACCTCACGAGCTAGATACGTATTCGGTGCCCCACTACCTGCCTGAATAGTGGCACAACTCTATGAACAGTTGGAGACCAGAGATGAGAAGGAGTTACAACAATACCCGCAACCGTTCCCGCAGGGCGAATACTCCGGCCTCGACGCGCTCTCCAGCCAAGATGGCGTCGTCTCCCTCAGGGCCAAATTCACAGCCATCCTCGCAAGAGTCGACAGCGGATGCTGACCGGGCTTCAAATGCGAGTACATCCTCCCCTGTGCCGAGCCATCAACCGGAGCCGGTTTGTAGGGATTCTGATCTACTAGATCGATTCAAAATCCTGCTACAAAAGGAGCTGAGAACCGCCACTGACAAACTGGCGGCACAGCTCTCCCGCGATATCAAAGAGTTGGGCTCCAGAATAAATGATATCGAATGCAAACTGGACGACGTGGTCAGCATTGTAGAATCTCACGAACAGGACCTAGACTCCGTTAAAACTGACCTTTCCGCTACCCTTCTCAAGCTAGAAGACCTGGAGAACAGGAACAGGCGCGGGAACATTCGCTTACGTGGTATCCCTGAACATGTGGAGGATCTGAATGCCACGGTCATGGCCATGTTCCAGGAACTCCTCCCGCACTACCCGGTTGAAAGGTTTGAGATGGATCGGGTACACAGGGCCTTGGGCGGCAAAAGACCGAAGGGACCACCACGAGACGTAATCCTTAAGCCGACCTTTTACAGGGCTAAAGAGGAAATCGTGAAGGCAGCCTGGGAGCGCCGTGACCTCACGTTCCAGGGCTTCAAGTATCAAGTCTACTCTGATCTGGCCCCACAGACCCTTCAGAAGAGGAAGGCCCGGAAACCATACCTGAACTCCCTGGCGCACCATCACATCAAATACAAGTGGGGTTTCCC